GCTAGTTGGCGAGCCCACCCTCGTCTCCTGAGAAGCGCCCGGGCTAGATGGCGGGCCCATCCTCGTCGCCTGAGGAGCTCGCACCAACCTCTTGATAACCTTTTTATCCTGTGTCAGCTTCAGGAGCCTCTCCTTTCGTCCAACCATGAGACCTGCATAAAATAACCCCGGGTTAGTGACGAACAAGTAACAAGTGAAGAAATTCAAACAAGACAAAACAATAACGACCTAGCAGGTTCGCGTCCTGCCCGAAGGACTGGCACTCCACAAGTGCCTTCGTATCGATCGGCCGGGCCTCGAAGGTCGGATAACCTTCTTCGTCAAGAATATCCTTCCCCTCCCTCATGGCCCACCGGGAGGGGAAGAAACTGTCGACATACCGGCAGAGAGTACCATAAGCCTTCTCGTCTTCGGTGCTCATCTCGCCCACATACGTATGGTAGTACCCGGTGCCATGCTCGTAGTGCCGCGAGGTCCAATGCAAGGGAAATTTTGCCACGCGCCCTAACACCGGGTGTCCCTCGTCGTCTAGAAGGGCTTCCCCGTGATCGTCGGTCACGACCGTTTCTTCCTCATATACAGACTCTAAACCTGCTATGGTAACCGGACTCACAATATACCACTTGTCCTTGAAGCCCCGCACGGAATCCATGTACATCCTGAACAGTCTCTTCGACTGCTTCAGGGAAACCCAGCTATGACTACCTCCCCGGGACTGGCGCTGTAAGTGGAAGACTTTGAAGAAAAGGGGTATGGTCGCCCCAATCCTTAGAAACCGACACGTCAGCTCGAACGCCCGGATGAAAGCAAGCGAGTTTGGGTGAAGCTGCGACGGGGCCAGCTCCAGATGGCTGAAAACCCCGACCTGAAAGTCGCTGAAGGGGAGCTTTAACCCCCAAGTCCTTGAAAGCAATCTCGTACATCGGGAACCCATACTCGGGGAACTCCGAGCAAATTCGGGCAGTAAGAGTTGGCCTACTGACGACAAAGTTCTTCTGAAAACCAGGCTGACTACCGCCCTGTTTGATGATGGTGAACGCACTTCGACTACGTCGACTATATGCCGAAGCAATCCCTATGGGCTCGGCGCCCACCCATTCCAGCAAAGGGTCGTCGATGGTATCAACCAAATTTACATTCTCCTTGGCACTTTGGTCTTCCACTTCATTGCGCCCCGAGGAACACGGTTCATCGACCATGGTTACCTACAAAGCACAGGAAACCGGTCAATTGGGGAGAAAATCCACACGCTCGCCATAACGGACGGGATGAAGAGCGCGACAAGCCATATCACTCCATGCGCGACTAAAAAAGTTTGTGTCTCGAAACAAAAAGAGAAGTCACCTCCCCGACTCTAAGATACCACGACAAGTCTCCCTACAAGATCGCCTAAATGGGCCAATATCTCGACCACTCACGAATATGTCGACCTAGGCTATGAACGTGGCGAGCGATATCATGAGTCTCAAAACTAGAGCCATGAGTTTACCGGGCACTACCAAGAATTAGGCGCCCTAAATCATGAAGATCCCGGGCAACACTGCGAGTCAAATACCTAAACTATGCGTTTACCGGGCGCAAACATGCGTTCGCCGGGCATAAACATGGATTTGTCGAGCTAAATATAAATCTACCGGAGCTAATCCCAGACATATTGTCTCTAACGTCCAAAACAATGAAAAATAGCATGCATCACAGAGGAAAAGCAAGGGGGACAAGACGCTTACTTGAAATCTGTAAGGAGTTGCGACGGCGGAAAAGGGGATCAACGACGGAGAGCACGGCGGTCCTATGAATATCTGGGAAGAACAGTAACAGCAGAGACAGAGGAAGGAGAAGAAGCGCGAAGAGGGAAAACACGTTCTGGGGCCCAAGGACCCTATTTATAGTGATGACGTGGAATACCAAACGTCACCTCGGGGAACCACAGGCTTCCCTCCTCGACGCACAGCTCCCCTAGGCAATGATGACCCTACCTTCAATAGGATGGCGGCACAACTCCCAAGAGATGCCTCGTGTGCTCAACAAACGCAGCCCGTCGAGAATCCCTCGAGCACTCCTCGAAGGGAATTATCTTGCGGACTCGGTACGGGGGGAACTCCTCGAGTTACCACGGGGAACTACATCCCTTGCCCGGATACGGGACCCCGCGACGGAGGCGACCTAAGATCAAGTCATGGCTCCTACTCCAGGAACCACGACTTGGGGGGCTCCTGTTCTGGACTGGGCCGAGCTGGCCCAAAAGCAATGGTGAAGGCCCAATCCAAACGGTCTTGCAATGGGTCACGCCGACCAAGAGGCCACATTCGTGCCCGACACTCTCTGCTAGAGCGACATCCTCGACTTCGTGCTATCCTGCTCGACCCCAGCTCGAGCACTCCTCCTAGGGCAGACTCTGTCCACTACACCATCACGTGGATCCCGAAAAGACCGCGTCCTCACCCGTCCGTACTTCACGCAGAACATCCGGGAAGGAGACCATGTGCGGGTCCCCACTACACACGTAGAATCTGGCAGTTCCTCCATTGGGCCAAACCTGCCCGGCCCAATGAAGGGACTTTGGCCTAGCGCTGGGGGCTATAAATACCCTCTATTTCCAGAGGGTCAGGTATTCATTCTTTTACCCATACTCATACTTTTGCCTGCTCGTACTCTCACTTACTTCAGCATCGGAGTGCCTTGCAGGTACCCCCCCCCCCCCCCCATCTCGTTCAAAACTTTAGCTCGGAGGCAGTCGTGACGATCCAAGTCTGATCAGGTAAGATCAGTATCATTACAAGAAAAGTTTGTAATATCCATTAAATTTCTCTGTTTTAAAATTCAGACAGTGTGAAAAATCTGGTCAAAGGAGAAATTTTGTTGTAATAGGTCATAATATAAAATTTGGAAATTTTTTATTTCATCCTGAAAAGAAAGATCTATGCAATTTCTAAAATATCTTTATGAAATTAAAAGTATATTTTTTTTTAAATTGTACTTAATTAAAATCAGAAATACACCTCCAAAAATATATTTTCAGTTTCTAATAAATAATATGATGCACTTCCTATGTTGCTGAGAACAACCATCCAAATTCAATCATTCATTTCAAAGGTATCCATTTCATCTTTAAATCAAGCATTATCAATAGCATTACTCTAGTATAATCACTTCAAAAATGTTATAGTGAAAACATCTGAATACTAATTTTTTACCCTTAAGATGAAAAAATAAATAAAATTATATTTTAAAAGCACAGTTAAAAGAAACAAATCAAAAATGCATACAACACTCAAACTCCCAAATGAAGTACCAGAGAGTAACTTCATCCACATTACTCACATAAGCTCCACCAGCTATAAAACTATCTATAATAAGGTGTAGGAAAAATTATTTAATAGTTGAATAGATATAATTGAGTATTGAATAAAGAGTTGAAAATGAAGTGGCTTAATAGTGTTGAAAACATTTAATATGTTGAACGAGGAAGGAGTAGAATCACATATAATATTTTACAAAATCTTATTAGTTGATATAATTATTTATATTTTTAATTCACTTAATTATTTAAAATCAATTATTTAAAATCAATTATTTTATAATAAATTAATTTTTTATTTATTTTTATTTTCACTAAAATTCATCATTTTTTATCTATAAATAAATAAAGATTTAATTCATTTGATTTGGACACAAAAAAATCTATTTTTTCTCTTCATTTTTTCTACTTAACCTTTAATAAACTCTTATTTTATCCACTTTTATTTATTTTAATAATTATTATTCTTATAAAATTAAAAAAAAAACAAAAAATTATATATATTATTTAACTTAAAATATATTATTTAACTCTTAATTATTTTAATTTTATTTCAATTGATAATTGATAATTGATATTAATATAAAATCATAAAAACAAAAATATAAAAGAAAATAAAAATATGAAATAGAAGTAGTGGGATAAAGTGTTGAATTTTATTAAATAAAATTATTATAGTAAGTAAAAGTTGAATGAATGTTAATTATTAAGTAAAAGAAAGAGAAGATGATATAGAATATAAAAGGTGAAAAAATTGTGTTAAATATGTAAATCATTGTACATAGTTTAACTAGTCCTAAGGTGGCTCCTATCAATAGTCTTCCATGACAATTCAAAATAATTGAGATAATAAAAACCGGAAATTTATTTTTTATTTATTTTCTATTAATAAAAACCGAAAATAAATTTCCAATTTTTAAAAATATTTTTGAAATTTCACCTAAAAATACGGAGTGGAATAAACATCCTCTATTATTATGATTCATCTCAACACATCCCAACAAAAATCAAAATATTGATAACCTAGCATAAATATTGAGTAAAATTATTCCAACCAAATGATAAATAATAAATATAAAACAAAAAATGTAACATCAAAATTAAATAAAAATAACTATAATACATATAAAAGAAGTAATTTCAAATAAAAAAAACTTGAATAACAATAAGAATTGGTTTTCCGCTAAGGAGTAAAATTGATTGTCAAAGATTTTTAAGTTTTACCCTAAAGAAGAGATTGGTTGTGAAAGATGATGGATAGAGGCTGATTAAGATATGAAAGAAGATTTTTAAGGGTCTAAAAATTTATATTCTAAGTTGGGAGACTATTAGGAAAACCATAAATAACAGACAAATAAAAAAAGGATAATATAAACATATAGAATCCAGATCTTTTTAGCACCAAGGTTATACATTTGAACACGTAAATGTAACAGGCTTTCTCAATGTGCTGCTCTGTAACAAAAGAGTAGTTAAATAGTCAGGTTTGTATAATTGGTTTGATGACTTTTAAATGCTAGCCAAAAAAGGAAAGTTCACTGTCACTCTAATAGCACAAAACTTCACTATCAGATGTCAAAACTCAAAAGTAAAATCCTCTCCCAAGTTGAGGAATGTTAGCAAAATGTTTTTGACTGGCATAGAAATATACCCCATTGTCACTACTATAAATATCCCCTGATTGTATAATTATATGCAAAACCTACGCAGCCAAATCTACGGAGACCGATGAATAATTCAATGCGCCTTGATGAGGATCCGGCACTTTGACATGTTGTAAAACAGAAGTCATTTTTATACCAATTATCTGGACCAGAGAGTTTGAGTGGCCCTTTAGAAAAACATCTGTTACCTGCAGCAGTATGAAACATTTCCTCATTAAGGCATTCTTAATCATAGACTGGTACTATTTAATACAATATACATACAATCACAAATATAAGAGGGAATGAACTATAGATATTTGTGGCCACAAGCCCGCATCGAACTAATAACAAGTTTTTGAGGTGAGGTCGGATACAATACCTGAGTACATCCAAAAAGTTTAAGTAATCTCAGTGACGAGCAACTGTCCACTATCAAACCTAATGCGTTGTCAGTCAAATTTCGGCACCAAGATACATCTAAACTATGCAGTTTTTTTGCATGGCTTGCAAGTGATAAGGTTGTGTGGTAGCCAACCTGTATTAAATCAATTAATGTAGCAGTCAGAAAGCAAAAGAACATAAATACAAATGTGCAGGCCGTCTATTAAACTGATAACTGAATAAAAAGGCAGAAATATTGAGCAGGTTCTTGAGCTATATAATTTTTATAAAATACAAATATAGTAGCATCTTGATTCATTGAACGCAGTTATAGACTGAAATATAAAATGAACTTTGACCAACAAGCAAATACATAGGATGCTTAGCTTATACTTTAAATAACCATACATTTTGATTTTGGAGTGTAGGCTTATATTAAATCTTTTTACAAGCACAAGACTTTATTTCCGGCATATTAAAATGTTCAAGTACCGGTGTGTTTTTAATGCATTTATGCATATGAAATCATATCATACCTATGAAGCACATACTCCAGCACAGAATAAGACATGTTGACACTCTTAATTTTAAGAATATAGGACATCATATACATATTTATTTATTTAGTTATTATAATTAAATAAAATATGAAGTTTGTCTATAAAAGATCTAAATAGTACAATTTGGTTCAATATAAAAAAGCTCTAATGTCTTCAAATCCTTCCTTGATCATTCATCACTAACATGACATGTCTTTAATCCACATAGAAGTGTCCATAGGAGTGTCTAAAGTGTGTCAAAGCAAAGAAAACAAATTCTTTTACACTTGTCATAACATTTAAAAGACAACGGAGAGAAAATCAAGGAGACAGATAAACAAGGTACCTTTTTAACGTTATTAAGCGATAGTTCTTTCAAAGACTCTCCATTAGTCTCCACAAATGCAGCAACTGCTTCATCACTGCGATGGCGAAAATGTTCAGTTAGTTTGTTCATTGATTTGGCGATATCAAGATTAGACACAGTAAGAACTAACGTAAGATTTGAATAAGGAATTAATCGGAAGGAGGGAATGAATAATCCCAAGAGTCTTCACAAAACAGGATAATGTATAAGATCGACAAAGACCCTCTGGGCCTATCAGAAAAATATATTGGATCCTGTTAAAGGGCCTTTGTCTTAATCTCAGCAAAAAAAATTAACATAATAGGGTCCATTCACATCACTTGAATATCACTCATATATATGGAAAAAAATCAACATTTTGACTTTTGAAAAATAAAACCATCATCCTATTAAAATCAGACTGATCGCAAACAAGAAAGTCTACAGTAAAAAGTGAGGGTAGCAATAAGGCGCAAAAAATACAAGTGTCTGGCATAAGCAAAATATAACATGAAAATTAAACACAGGCAAGTACAGGAAAAACAAACACCTGAATGAGTTACGGCAAAGCTTCAGTGTATGAAGTGCACGACAACCATTTGTAAGATATCCCATGGACAGATCTGTTAATTTGCACACATTTGATAAATCAAGCCTACACATTCCAGGACAGTGTTCAGCAATGACTTTTATTGATTCATCGGTCAAGTTTCTGCATATCAAACAATATAATCAACAAGCTTAAGTGACAAATATCTTGAGAAAGAAAGAAAGAAAATAAGGAGCCTTCAATTTGAGTAAAATATTCATTTTAAAAGGACTAAGAAATTCCCAAATAATCAGTGATCCACATTCATAGAATGATCAACAGTTACAAAAGACAATAATTGGATTTAACATAAATACCAAACTAGGTTAAATTTTTCTCTAATTGGAAATTTATCTACCAACTTCCTAAAATGAAACTGTCTAAGAAATTACTTTTTATGAGTATCTTTAGAGGAGATTTCAGTCATGAAACAGACTGCTATAATGATACTTACATGCAGTCCTTCAGATTTAGCTCTTTCATGTTGTGACCACGTGCAACAATGTAATCCTTGACAAATGTATCGCAAACAGTTGGAATGCCAGCCACCGACAACACTTCTAAATGTTCAAACTCCACCAGTGCTGGCACAATTAGTGCAGCATCAATGCCAAGGCAGTGATCAAGGTACAACTCTTTCAAAAGAGATTTTAATGTTTCAGCCAAAATATAAAGACTAGCAGAAGTGAGAAGGGAGCACATGCTAAGATTTATTGAACCAAGTGTTGGAGTAGAAAAAACAAGTGCTTGCAATCCCCCATCTGAGAGTCGGCATGCACCTCTGAGAGATAGACTAGTTAATTTAGGCAGCTGCTTTGGGGACCGTGCTAAACTAGCAACTACGACATAATCCGGCAAACACCGCCCACACAGATCAAGTTGCAGTACCTATTTCAAAATTGAATAGATAAATAAATAGAATCCAGATGATCAGATATTTCAAAACAGGAAGGCTAGACAGAAGCTAGTTAAATCTACAGAGAGCAAACAGGAAATATAAATACAAAAGGTTACCCTAAAAAACTGAGAAAATGCAAGAAACATTTAAAGAGAAGAAAGATCAACGCCAACGGCTCTAAGAATAGTCAATGTCTTGTTTTACCTTGTTAATCTAAATTCAGTCTATTAATAATATCAATAATAGGATTTTAGAGCTACTGCTATTTGGCCAATGTTGTGGCAACTATAATAGAGATGGTGTATTATTACCCGAACTTAACTGTAACCGCAAATTAAAACCCTATTCACGACAATTCAACAAAGTTACAAGAAACAATAAAAGCTATCAAACAAGTTAAAACCACCTAAACATGTTTGTAAACTTATACTTATAATGGGTTATTCAGTTATAAAAAATCCATCTAAAAGTGAAAATCACCTAAAACCCAAAGTTAATCTAAATTAAATCTATTAATATCACTACAAGAGTTTTAAAGCCCAACTTGGCCTTTTACTTGAAGGTTGTGGTATGTTGCCAATGTCACGGCAACTACAATAGAGGTGAGTATTACCGAATTTAACTCTAATCGCAATTTAAAACACTACTCTCGACAATTCACCTAAACCCCAAAAGTTAATCTAAATTTAAAACACTACATGGGTTTCAAAGAAAAGCTCACAACTGCAATTTGGCCAATAAATCAATGTCTTTGACATCACTAAAACTACAATTGAAGCTGTATTAATCATACTTAACTGAGACCGCAATTTAAAACCCTTCTCACAACTTTCCAACAAAATTACAGGAAACAAAACTGTGACCACAATTTAAAACCCTTCCCACAACTGTTCAACAAAATTACAGTAAACAATAAAAGGTATTTTAAAACCCTTTTCACAACTGTTCAACAAAAATACAAGAAACAATAAAAGCTATCAACAATGTTTAAACAACCTACCAGCAAATTAGAAGTGTCACTTGCTTGAAAGCACTTTGTAAAATGTTCCTCAGATAACCACGAGCAATTTCTAAGCCGAATCTCTGTTGGAGTTCCAACAACAAGAAGTTCAAAAAAATGGTCATTCATCCTCCGTGAATCACACAGCAACTGACTAAGCCTATGCCTCAAAGCATCAGGCACACTCTCAAGCGAAACAACTGCATCAACATTCTTAGCAAGAATCCGAATGCAAAGCTCTTGCAACGATGGAACAGAAACCTTTCCATCAAACTTCTCCACATTCGTCTTCGGATTCCACTTTATCGAATCAATCAAATCCTTCTGTACAGAAGCAGACCCCGCTTGAAACTGAATCCCTTTCTTCTCTCTATCCCTAATGATTTTCATAGCGGTCGAAAAAGGACCAGGCCAATCTTCAATCTCAATCGCATTCTTCTCCTGCTCATTCTCCGGAGATAAATCATCAACATGGTTTTCGTCATTAGCAAAAAGCGCAAAACGAGACGCGTTCTCTCTTGCTATGTCACGGAACCGTTCCAAGTTCCTCCTCAAACCGCGTCCCCCTCTGCTGTTGTTGACAGAGTTTCTAGATTGTTGTATAACATTCGATGCATCATTTTTCTCTTCCGTAATAGTGTTCTCTATTTCGGATTCTTCACTGCTTTCTTCACTGCTTTCATCGTTTTCATTATTTTCATCAATAACAACAGTTTCCTTTCCTTTCTCTTCTCTTGTTAGTATTCTTCTTTCACTCGATTCACCTTCATCGTTTAGTTTATTCTTTTTCGAAGCGTTGTTTTCAGAACCGTCTTCGTCTTGGTTTTCGTTTGCGATAGTGATTCCGCGTTTGAGAACTTTTTTTCCTGTTCGCAAGTTAACGGAACTCTTGCTTGTTTGATTAGCTTTGGATTCGGAAGCGGTTAGGTTTGATTTTTGGATTTTTGATTTGGAAACCCTAGCGGAGGGTTTGGGGGTTGATTCGGGTGGGGATTGGGGAGGTTCGGAGATGGAAATGGCGGCGAGGCGGAGGCTGCGTCTCCGCGGCGGGGCGGAGGAGAAGATGGGAGGAGATTCGGTGGTTTGAGTGGGAGTGAGAGGGTGAATGTGGTTTGGTTTGGAGGGTTTGGGGGTTGTTTTGGCTGGTGGAGCCATTTTTTGCGAAGGAAAAGGAGAGTAGGGTTTGTAAAATGAAAGTGAGTTGGAGTGAGTGTGGAAACGATGGGATTTGGAGGGAAAAAGAGGAGAATGAGTATTTATTGTGGAGAAAGGGTAATATGGGGAATCGTGTCTAGTGGTACATTGAAGTAACCGACATGTAAGTAAGACGATGGATGAGAAACTTGCTTCGCACACTTTACTTTACCTCATGACTTTGTGTCCATTTTCCCGCCGGTAATATACAGCTTGATCACGAATATAATTTTTAAACAATAGAGTCGCTAAGAAACCAGTTGAAAAAGTATTTTTCTCCTACAAATTCATTACTTATTTTGCCCGCTCCTAAGAGAAAAAAAAAATGAGTAAAGAGAATTTCTTTTTCCATCCTTATAATTTTTTAATACATCATACGAAATTTTAAAAATCTTTTTTAAAATTAGAAATTTATTTTTAGTACACATCTAGCCCAGATATATATGGTATATAAAAGTTGGGTATAAATTAGAAATACACCTCTGATTACAACCGTAAATATATTTTCGGTTGCACCCCAAACATACACAATGGTCTGGCCTTGAAATTCAAATTTCAGTTAAGATATGATCCGGAATTTAAATTTATGGTGACAACCAGAAGTATATTTTCAATTTGTGGTATGACTTAAAAGCGCACTGTCTTTTCCCCTCCTTTTACAGTAGCATTTTCAAATACAAAAAAAAAAAACACACAATACACTTATTTCCTCTCAAACCTCATTGTTACAAAATCAAACCACTTTGCAAAAAACTCGTCAGCAATCGTAAAGCATTAGTTAACCTAATTGTTCAACCACAATCAATCAAAGAGGCATCATCAATTCTAAGTTGTTTTTGAGTTTTTTAGAGTTTATGTAATTTCTACTCAAATTTGTGATTTTTGTTAGAAATTGTGAGTTTTTTTTTTGTGTTTTCAATATTAAGAGTCACTAGAAAAGTGTTGGAAGTCTCACTTTTATGATCAATGATCACTTTTTGGAGGTCATTTGTGGCTCTACTTCGCCATTGACGAAGCTCTGAAATTTTAGGTCGTATCGGAAATGTATTTCCGGTTTTCATTTTAACGTTGAAGAAAACCGGTAATACATTTCCGGTTTTAGTTTGTTTCTATTTTACCTTCATTTTGAACATTAGTCCTTATGTTAATGTTTGTTTTGTGCTTCTACATGAGTAATTGCTGAGAGACTATATAGGTTGAGGCACAACAGGCTTGCACAACATGCTTATGTGCAGAGGAAAGGGAGTCAGGCATCCCAGGCTCCTTCTGCCTCTAAACAGACTGTGTCAGATGCTCCTACTACAACCTCAGCCTCCGGTGTTCCTATTTCTACTTCGACTTCATTGTCCTCCCACAGTAGGTGGGATTCTCCTGATCATCCCTCCCCGCCTCCGTCCTCCCGTAGATGCACTTCCTTATCAGTGGTATTTGAGGCGGGAGAGACATATGGTTCCCAGCCGACACCATAAGTCACACAGCCGACACCTGAGGCCTAGCCACAACCTACATCCCATGCACCTGAGGCGGCACCCCAGACATCTCAAGCACCTCAAGTGGCACCTGCGGTGCCTTAGGGTTTTGGAGGAGGATCGTCTGATTTATCTATGTTGTCTTTGTACCCGGACATGTTACTAGACATATATGGGACGGAGCGGTATGAATTTTGAATTGTTTCTTATATTACATTTTTATTATGGATTTTAGATGAATGAATTTTGTCAAACCATGTATACAAGAACGTGATCCGCTGAAGGTCATTAATCATAGGCGGAAGATCAATAAACTTGAAGCCCCTCTTGAGTTATTATTTGATGAGTTGTTGATGCTTACAGGGTTGAAAGATTTGACCAAGTTTAGTTATAGCATCGTTAATTATGGTATGATTAACGCTTTTGTTGAGAGGTGACGCCATGAAACATCGTCATTCCATCTACCACATGGTGAGATGACGATCACACTAGACGACGTCGCGTCTCTGCTGCATCTTCCAATTAGAGGGATATTTTTAGATCATGATAGGGTTGGCAAAGAGGAGGCGTTAGATATGTTGGTAGAGAAATTGGGAGTTACCCCTAATAGTGTCGTGGCTGAGATGGACTTCACCCGTGATGCCCACGTCAGATATAGTTAATTGAAGATGGTGTTCATGGATGAGATAAGGCATGCACGAGGGGCAAGTTACCCTACACCGGAGGCTTTCTATGAGAGCATACCTTTTATTTCTAGTTGGTACGCAGATTTTTGTGGATACTAGTGTCACTTACACAGATGTGATGTACCTGGAGTACTTTGATGATTTTGAGCATATCCATCAATGGAACTAGGGGCTGCTTGTTTGGTGTACTTGTATACGAAGCTGTCTAAAGGATGTAAGTGGAAGACAAAGCAGATGATCGGCAGCATCACACTCCTGAGAATTTTTTTAAAAAAATTTTTTTTTTCGCAAATAACCACGTTTCGGAAAAAATTACGCAAATAACCATGTTTCAGATGACTCCCCAAAGGAGGAGCCATCTCACTTGGCGCCTCCACCTAGGGTTTTTCCCTAGGCACCATCTCACTTGGCGCCTCCTCTCTCTTTTAGCCAAGTGAGATGTCGTATGCACTTTAAAAGTGAGAGGAGGCGCCATCTCACTTGGCTCCTAGGGCAAAATGCTGTTTTTATAAATAATTCGTCCGTTTCTCCGTCATTTCTCACACTTTCTCGCACTATTTTCTTATTTTTTACTCTGTTATTTGCGTCATGGCATCGCCCATGATTTTTACCAGAGATGGTTATGTTATCTTCTCCGCCACGAAACCTGCGATGAAAATGAAATTCTGGCACATTCACTCCATGGAGCGTCTGAAGCGGGAGTTGATGCGATGGCTAGATGGAGACATTGTGGAGGGGGGGAAATTCGAAGGATCCAGAGAAGACGAACAACAACCTCATATGTGACTGGAAGACCTAATGTATGGTTGGAGGAAGTCAAAACAGACAGCGACGTAATGTTGATGATGCATGGGTTAAATGAAATTTTTTTAACAGTTGTAATTTCGTAGACGGAATATCGTGTTTTTTTCTTGTACGCGCAATATTTATTGTAGCAAATACTGTTAACGAAAAACCCTAATGTTTACAACATAATTAAGGAAAGATTTTATGTATTACAATTTTTATGTGGTCGAGGCAGACGCCCGATTCGGACAATTTTTGCGATTGTGTTTGACCTGACGACATAACCCACACTTTCTTTCCAGCTTGTCAAGGTCGTCCATTTCGGTTGTGATGCGCTTACTTTTGGGACAACCCTTCTTGTTCCTTCGCATTTGGTCATTGTGCCACACTATTTCGCCGTCGTATGCAGGCCAATAATCTGGTTTTGCTACCAAAGGAAAGTTGTTGTTGTAAACGTTGAGCAACGTTTCAGATTTGTAAATGTGTGACAGAAGTTGTAGCGCGTCTTGATGGGTATAAGCACAAGCGGCAATGACATGAGAGCAGGGCATACGAAAGGCTTGAAACTTGCCACAATCGCACCAACGAGAAGGTAGTATAACCCTATATTCTTGTCTTGGCAGGGCCTTCGTTGTGGTCGATTGTCTCTTTCACAATGACGTTATGGTTGTGTCGGTCAAACCGTATAACCATATGAGTGTTGGATTTGGTACTTTCTGCCTTAATGTACTTCATGCAGCTTTCACTTCATAGTTGTCCATATTGCAACATCGCATTCCACATTTCACATCTTTTGGCAAACAACGAAGCCATCCTAAAATACGTAGATTTTACCAAAGCAGTGATCGGGAGGTTTCATATGCCTTTGAATACCCCATTCATCGATTCAATAATATTCGTTGTCATGTGCAACCATCTTTGGCCATTGTCGTATGACCTAGTCCATTTTTCCACCGGAATATTGTCGATCCACCTACCGGCTTCCGGATTTGACAAACGGATCTCTTTGCGGTAATATTTGAACGTGGGTTGTGTCAATGCATATCCCGCATTCATAACCGCTTTCCTTATTGTTTTGTCCTTGATCTCCCTCGTGAAATTTTGGACGATATGCCTAACGCAATAGACATGCGTAGAAGGAGGGTCATGCCAACCGTTTGCAGGATTATTATAGGCACTTTCAATGGAGGCATGTTTGTCCGAGATCAAACAGAGATCTGGTTTAGGAGCCACATGTGTTCGCAGGTTTTTCAGAAAAAAGCTCCAAGCACCACCGGTCTCCCCCTCGACTAGGGCAAAGGCAATTGGGAAAATGTTGTTGTTGCCATCTTGTGCAACTGCCATCAGTAGCGTGCCTTTGTATTTCTCATACAACCAAGTCCCATCAATTTGTATAATTGGTTTCCATGATGCAAACCCTGTGATGCAAGGTTGAAATGCCCAAAACACTCGACTGAATATTCCATTTCCGTTTAGTTGACTACCATCTTGGGCGTATGCTGGCACTGTTTCCATAATGTAAATAGTACCCGGAGAATAAGTCTTGAGTGCATTCAGGTAGCGAGGAAGTTCTTGGTATGACTCCTCCCAGTTTCCGTACACCTTTTCAATCGCCTTGGTCTTTGCTAACCACGCCTTACGGTAAGATGAAGTATAGTTAAAAACCGTGGTGATGTGGGAGATGATGGTTTTCACCTTCAAAGATGGGTCATTGCTGACCAGTGGTAGGATTTCTTGACAAATGAGATCGTAATTAAGTTTTTGATGGTCTTGTGATTGGGTAAAACTTACACAAGTGTGGGTAGTCATGGAACCTATGACCCATCAATCACCTCTTAATTTGTATGATGCAGTGAGCTTGAACATACTGTCAGGGTGGACACACTTGATCTTGTACCTTTCTGGGTTGACACGGTCCACCTTAAAATCGACTGAGTTGAGAATGTGGAATTTTTTATGGCTCTGATGCATTCCTCTCTGTTACGAAACTTGTCCTTCTCTTTTAAGTTTTCATTCGACT